ATGCTTGTTGTCTACTTACTCAGTGCCAGCTTACATAGAAATTTCACTAGGGGCGCCTGAGTGGCACAGTCAGTTAAGCGTCCGACTTCAGCCAGGTCAAGATTTCGCGGTGAGTTCGAGCCCCGCGTCAGGCTCTGGGCTGATGGCTCAGAGCCTGGAGCCTGTTTCCGATTCTGTGTCTCCCTCTCTCTCTGCCCCTCCCCCGTTCATGCTCTGTCTCTCTCTGTCCCAAAAAGAAATAAACGTTGAAAAAAAAAATTTAAAAAAAAAGAAATTTCATTAAAGTTCACAACAATGCAATGAGACTGGTAATATTGGATATTAAATCAAGGTGATGAAATGAAAACTTAAAGGTGAGATAACTTGCCCTGAATTTTGAACGTGGTCGTCTTACTCCAAGTCCCGTATTAATGAACACACATACTGCCCCTCTCATGTCAGTGCTGCCCCCCAAAGTATGAGGAATGAGAAGCTTTCAGAGTAACAAAGCACCATCTAGGAAACTACATGACCTGAGAAGATACTCCTTTAGAAGGAGTTGATACTTGAAGAGAGGAAAATCCTCTTTAACTCCCTTATACCTCATGAAGCTTACCCTTGGCAAGAGAAATAAGGGTCATCTTTTCCTTTTAACATCAGCCCACCTGCAGTGTGAATATCTGAGAAGTGTCTGAACTTGTGTCTCAGATGCGCACAACATAACTGAAGCTCATACTTGCAGTGGCCAAAAAACCCTATTTGTTATCATGCCTTTTCAGCCTACTGTATGGTACCCGGAATGTAGGGAATCTTCACAGAAATATTTCCAACATTCACCTAAGACTTAACTTTGGACAACTCACATAAGTTTTTAATCTCTAAAGTGGAATGGGACTTTAAACATTATTTTTATACTTGCACAATTTTTGGAGAAACTAGAAAGCCAGCACCAATTATACATTAGCTAAAGTACAAAAATATAAGAACTGATAAAGCACAGAAATGATAAGAATAAAGCATGAAATGATTAACCAATTTATTCAATGTCCTGCATTTGTTTTAAATATGTTTGCCTTGATGGCTTCAATTCCCCATACATATATTTTGGTATATAAATGCTCAACGGCATATTTGTATAACTTCCATATTGCTAGACTTGGAAATTTTCACTTGTGCTTGCCTGCTCTACATAGGTTATTTATCATTTAACAAGGGTATTTGAGACTGTGGTTCTTTCATAACTTAATGTTTTCATTTATGTGTATATGGAAAGTTTTAAAAATCAAGCTGCTAGCACATGGACCAAGAAAACTTGTGAGAATGGCAATTTTCTCAATATTCATGATAATAAGTCTCTCCTATCATTTTCCTCAGGCTCTCCTCACTCCTGTGAAGTTTTATTCTCTTTAATGAACCAGTCTATACCAGTAGGTTTATCCTCAGAGGTGACATTGTCATATGATAGAAGTCTCTGAATACTTACTTAAAGGACAGACTCCATTGCTGATATTTTCAAACTCCATGAAGTTTGGAATGTATGGTTCCTTATAACAGCTGCAACTCAAATTGTGTTCTGGGTTCTATAAAGAGAAAACAGTTCCAAAAACATAAAAATGAAAATAAAGATTTTCTGTGCCATTTTAAAAAATTATCAGCTCACTAATTCATTTTGCCATGAATACATTCAACAGTATGAACCAAGCACTTTTTAAGAACACGTCTTCCAAAAAAATAAAGAAAGAAAAGAACTTGTCTCCTAGAGATGTAAATAAAAAGATGACTAAAATGCAGTCTGTCTCTCAGAGAAGTCTAGAAGAAACCACACAGCAAGTACTACCATGGTGCTGAGTTCCATATCAGGAGTAGGCATGTGACCAGTAGGCGCACAAAGTCATAGAAGCCATAATCTTCCAACGGACAGCAGAATGAAAACCATCACGAAAGCCTTCAGAAAAGAGGGAAATGTTAAAAATGAGTTTTAGAAGGTAAAGATACATGGCACGGGGACTTTTGGTGTGGAGGAAACATGAGGTGTCCTGGCTTGGAGGATAAGGATGTATGGCTCATGATTGGCACTCTGAGTGATTCAGAATGGCAGGCGATGAGTTTGAAGAGTTGGAGACCAAATCATGGAAGGCCATAGATTCCCTGCCAGAAGTTTGATATTATCCTCTGAGCAATGATTTGATACTGAATTTTATGTGTCACTATTTCTCTAGGGAACCTCAACTAATACAAATGGGAAACCACCGAAAGGTTACAACCAGAAATAATGTGATCGGTTTTACAGAGTGGAGAGTAATTTCAGTGATATGAATTTTATTCTTTTGTTAATTTTTTAAAAAGTGTGTGTGTGTGCGCGCGCATTTCGTATCTACTATGTATTAGGCACTAGGATGGCATTAAGGTTGCAAACATAAAAAAAAAAGTAAACACAAACCTTGTCCCCCTAGGGAGTTAAAATACTTACAACATACATTTGTTAGAAGGGAGATCAAGTAAGAGATTATTGAAAAACCCCATCAAGATATAATTGGAACAGAAATGACAGGCTTGGGGAGCCTGGGTGGCTCAGTCAGTTGAGCATCTGACCCTTGATTCTGGCTGAGGTCATGATCTCACAGTCATTAGATGGAGCCCTGTGTCAATCCCTGTGCTGAACGTAAAGCCTGCTTGGGGTTCTCTCTCTCCCTCTCCCTCTACCCCTCCTCCACACATGCATGCTCTCTGTCTCTGTCTCTGTCTCTGTCTCTCTCTCTCTCTCTCTCAAAATAAATAAACTTCAAAAAATAAGAAATGACAGACTTGTTATAACACAGATTAGAGAGATATCACTAACAAGACGCTAGCAAAACAAATGAATATAGGGTAGGGGTGATTTAAGAGTGAAAAATAAATCAAAGATGATCCCCAGGTGTCTGTCTTGAGAATAGTGCAGAAATCACATTCACAGGAACATTAAGCAATTCATTTCAAAGAGCTAACCTATACGGTCCACAGATCTAGGTGCTTCACATAGATTATTCAATTAGTAAAGTAATCCTATGGAGTAGGTATTATTATCTCCTGCTTCTTCTGCAGATAAGGAAACTGAGAATGGGGAAGTTGGAATGTCTAAACTGACACATCTTGCATGTGGCAGAGCTGAATTCAAACTCAGGGCAGAAGCCAACCCATGTCCTTTCCCTGCAGCATGGTGACCACAGCGTGCTGCCTCTCATGCGGTTCTCGGATGAGCAAGCCAACAAAAAGATATAGAGCTTTAAAAAAAATGTAAGTTTTTACAACACCACGCCTTCATCTGGACTGTCATGAGTCTGTAGTTCACCAAAGATAGTTTCTCTATTGGATTTCTCTGCCGATCGCCAAAGATAGTTCCTCTGTTCGATTTCTCTGCCATGTGAGTTTAGCATGATAAATTAACAATCTTTTGAAAGTCATAAACCAACACATACTTACTGATTGAGAGATTTATTGAAGTAGAGAGGTTTTCTCTTAATGAACTACTTATAAATCATTAACCCAACACTTCTTTCGCACCATTTCAGCCACTGCAAAATGACATCCATTATGTATATTCACTGATTGGGTACATGTACTTGGTTCTGATTTACCCTGATAATCCTGTTCCAGAAATGATCTAGCTACATTTAACATAAAGGTGCTCTCACTATACTTTTGAACATTATCTTCAGGCATCGTAAAGATAGGCTGTGCCACTTTTTTTTTTTTAATTGCAGAAAAAGCTCTTCAATGCCAAATGATACCCAATATTTATGTAGCGCTTATGTGTCAAGTACCCTTATATGCACTTCATAGATGCTGCGCATCTATTCTTGATGATGTCCTTATGAGATTTTGATTATGATTATTATCTCCATCTTACGGGTGGAGAAACTGAGACATTAGGTAACATCGAGGTCACAGGATTAGAAAGCAGCAGAGCCAGAAGTAGAACCAGACTCCAGAATCAGCTCCTAACACTACATTGCCTCTGATCTAAAGGATCTCCATCTTTCAACACTCAGCCTTCCACTCCTAGGACAAGTTCTATTCTTTCTTAGGTAATAATAAAAAGCAAGAGTGGTGGAATTCTCCTAAGCCATAAAAAAAGGGTTGGGACTAGGTGAGAATTTTGAGTCACTACAGTCCACACAGTACAGATTTGAAAAGCCCTAATCACATTAATCATTTTCTTTCCCTTCCATATAAGTCCAGGAACTGACACCTGGACCTCATGTTCCACCTTCCACTCAGGAAGTAAAGCCAGGACTAAGTTCCCTGCTGCTACAGACGGGGCAGTGCAAGATCAGATAAAACTAATCAGTAACTAACCATGGCTGTGAAGAGAAAGGTAACAGGGCTCAAAATACACATCCCAGGAATCAGAGACCTTGCCAATAATTTACCTGCCACATCATTAATAGGGACTTTGCACTTTTTATTGCAAGATTGAGACAGCATGGATAGAAGAAAAAGCAAACATTTTAGATTTAGACAAGCTTCGAGTTCGGGTGTGGCCCTGCCATTTGCTTGGTGAGTGACACCAAAGAACACATTTCATCTCCCAAGTCTCTGTTTTCTCATTTGCAAAAAGGAGACTAAAACAATTTTATTATGTTATAAGAGATTTAACTATGTAAATTGTAAAAGCACTTCTTAAAGACGAGATATTATCATTAGAGCTGAACAACCAGAGTTGATTATCCTTGGTGGTTATGCACATGATCCGACTGGCCACCATTCTGAATATGTACTACTGGGTCAAAACATCTTTTCTATTGGGGTAGGCCATATTTTATTAGTATTTACATGCAAAGCAATACCTTTTAAATATACCTGCATATATATATATTCTTTAAAAAATGTTTGTTTGTATTCTGCTTTCCAAAATACTGTATTTGGATATTTGGCTTCTCCCTTTCATATCTCTCCTTAGTATCTTGACCATATTAATGATACCTAGTGAAATATTTTTCTGGGAAATATGAAAAATATGGATACTGGTAAAGAGCAGATACAGAATGAGAGGAATGTTTTTAGTGGGAAATTTTTCACAAATAGCTTGTTTGTAACAAAAGGGTTTAAATCATTTTTCCCTAGCCATTTTTTATTTGGTATCAGAGGGGTGTGTGTGTGTGTGTGTGTGTGTGTGTGTGTGTGCTTGGAAAAACTATGATCTTGAAACCTCTTTCCTGAATTACCTTATGAAAATTATAATAACTGAATATTACATAAGAAAATAATAATGAGAAAAAGAATCTATGTATTATCTTTTTTCCAAAGAGAAGATAAAATCTATTTAAAAAAAAAAGATTTATGTAAGTCTTACACTAGAAACTGAGTCTATAATTCAGCAAGTAATTATTTTTTTGGTTTTGTTTAAGGAAGAAGGAAATTATTGCAATTATAACTTTCAAGCTTCTATTTCTTCTGAAGAACATATTTTTTAATGGCAAAGGCCCAGCATCCTGAAAAAAGATTTTATTTGTTTCAGAGAAAATAATTTCCAGGTAAAATCCAGATACAGGTGACAACCTTAGTAAAAAATTATTTCGAACTAACCTCTTCTAAGGAATTTGGGACCAAATAACAGCTCTGACTAGAGAATAAAATGATCTGGAAGGAGACACAGCAAGTTCAAGAAAATACCTACCTTGAGAAACAAGCCGAAAAGTGAGTTAAGTTCAGATGTGCTGGTTAAACTTCACCTATAATGGAGAAATTTCAAGGCCTATATTAATTCAATGACTACAAGGTTTTTGCCTTCATTAATTAGATAACTCATAACTTCATTTATGCTGTGCCCCTAGTATTTTTGGAAATCATTCAGATACAAAGCCCGTGTGAGAACGGATAATGATCATGCATACGAATAACTATATTTTTAATATCAGCACCAAAATAAGTGTAGACAATTTTTAGCACTTTCATTCTAATGTGAAATATAGGCTTTGCATTTCTTCCATATCTAAAAACGTGACCTATTTCTCATGTACTTTCCAAGTGAGAAAAGAGACAATTATGGAAGTAATTGAAAGACATTTGAAATGTGACATCAGTTTTTTAAAAAGCATAATATAAAACTTTCAAAGAATTGGTTATATCCCTTGATTGAGAGATGCTCATTTTCTTTAAGGTTTTTTTAACAGAATGCATGGTGTCACGAAATGAGATGCCATTGCATTTAATACTGTAACAATATCTGAAAGACAAAGACATAGTACTCTCCTTCACCATAAATGTAGCTGAAAAAAAAAAAAGTTCAATGGAGAACACATTGTACTACTGGTATAGTCATGTGATACAGTGATGCAGGCTTTGATGATGACTAAACACTAATATGACATCTGCAGATGATTCTTTGGGTCCTGAAGTCTACCCAGTAACTGCACTGACTGTGTAGTGAGAGTGTCCTCTGTTAAAGCTATCCATCTTCTGCTCAGAAGCTTTTATTAATAAATGTGAACTTAGATCCAACACTGATGGCTTTCTAAATTTGGAGACTGGATACAGAATTACAGAATGGTAATTAAAAATTTATGTGCATTTTAAGAAATCCAATTCAATAGCAAATTCTTTTGGAATTATCCCTTTCGTATTAGAAGGATTTTTATTTAAAAAAAATTTTTGGCATCTATTGCCTCTTATATTTATTACATCAATTAATCTAAAGACACTTATGAACTCTTTCAAATAGCACTAAAAATATTCCATAAGTTATATTTTGGTTAAAATTGGATCTCTGGATCTGGGAGAAAACTAACATTAGGTATAGGGGTAAAAAATCCTTAGGATATAAGGTTTTGTTTACTAGAGAGCCACAGTTAGCTCTCTTCAACATTTTGTTGATGTTTGAAGGTAACCTCTAATAAAGGATATTAAATTATGTAATTGTGAAGTAGTCACGATTATTCTCTGGGGCAGCGAAAGGCAGCTCAACGTACCACCCCGAAAGATGCCACTTTGCCATATTGATTATTTTGAGCTGTAGGCACTTGAAAAACAGCAAAGGCAGGAGAGGCTTTCTCTGAACTCCATTTATCTGTCTAAAGACACATTCTCAAAAGGTACTCAGTAGTCCCCAAATCTACCCAGAAATTTCATCAACCAGAAAGAATTGACTCTTACCACAAGAGAGAAGCCTGGAAGTCCATTCGACACCCAGAAAACTTTCATAAACTCTCATACCCCCTGTGTATTTTACTGAGGGCACATTCATCTTTCCAAAAATCATTTATTCTCCCTTAAAAGGCCTATACTCCTCCCATTTCCCTACTAAGATAGTATTTAAGCCTGAATCCTATGAGTTACTCACTTTTTCCTGGGCATCTCTCATGTATACGTGACTTGTATGTGTTAATAAATTTATTTTTCCCTTGTTGGTCTGGCTTTTACCATAGAGACCTCAGCTAAGAACTCAGAAAGGTGGGGGGTGGGGGGAATTATTTTTTCTCCCCTACAGCAGGATACCAGAAAAGTTATAAATATTAAGCAATAATATCACTTATATTGACTGAGGTGTAGGCTCTATATGACACAGCCTCTAAAAATTTCATTTCCGGTACTGTGTGGAAATGGAATGGGAGAGAAGTCCTTTGATATGAAATCCACACATGTCTTCATGAAAGAACTTTCCCCTATTTACAAGTAGATTTCTGCAAACCTGCCCCAAATGGCAACTACTTAAATTAAAATATAATTATGCTTGGTTTCTTGAAGTCCAATAAAGGGTTAGCACATACTATGTTTTCTCTTTTTTGAAATAATTCAATAGCACACCGGGATAACTTTTTAATTTATTTCATTATAATAGTAAAATCCTCATAGTAAAAATCTCAAACTGTTCAGAGGGTAAAAAACAAAAAAAAAAAAAAAAAAAAAAAAAAAAAAAAGTCCCTTTTACCCAAAACAACCCTGCAGTTTTATCCCACAGAGGTAAGCACTGTTTACAGTTTCCTGTGCATCTTTGTAAAATTCTTACAATTTGCATTAATTTTTAAGTCTTCCCCAAAGGGTAGAATGATCTCAATTTGGACAAAAATAAAAAGAAATAAGTAATGAATATGATGAAATTAATGCATCAATTGAGAACTTTCTCAGGTAGAAGCTTTTGACTTTTTTGTGCATGGATACAGGCTATGTGTGCAATCATATAGTAATGATGTAACTATCACAAATGGTCTAAACTTACTCAAAAGGAAAACTTACTAGTTACCAGAATATTACTATTTATCACAAAGAAAATCTCCTAAATTGGAAAAATAAAAAAAAACATTTTAAATATCAAGTTTTGAATGTTTTACATAAAAATTTTCATTCTACACTCTACTAAGATGGGAAAAGCAATTAACAATTGTTTGGGGATTGGAAAAACACCTTGGCTGTTTTAACGCAATTTGTGGAAATCTTGTGTGTTTTGTGGTTACGTGTTTGCCCACTCCAGCCATCTGCAGCACCATTTTAAAAACCTGGTAACAAATGTCATTATTAATTCCAAAACACAGTCTCCAAATAGGCCAAAGATTTCTGGAGAGCAAAACAAGTGGCACAGACATTAGGAAATCTCTTCAGTGACACGAATGAAAAATTCAAAAGAAAATATTTTTTATCCTAATGAGGGAAGAGAAGGGAATGTACGGTAAAAAAGAATTATGAGAACAAAATGGGCAGGATTCCAATTCACTTAGTTATATCCAATTTATCTTCGTTTGCAATGCATGTTAATTTCAAACAGTTCCTCATACTGAAACTAAGGATTTCTCAGTTACTAATAAGTAAGCCCCACAAATGCACAACTAATAAAATAGTTGTTAATAGGTATTTATTAACTTTCTATATATGGAAATGGAATCACCTGAAAATAAAGACAAAATGATAAATGATCAACAATGGTAAAATAGTTTAATAAACCTGGTCACCTGCTAAAATTTTTTTTCCACCAATTTTACCAGGATAAGAAATCTTAGGAAAGAATGTGTAGCTCTGGGAAGAGGTCTTTCCCTATCTTGACCTCTAGGTTTTCTGCAGGAAACACATTTATGACTTTTCTTCTGTTGACCTTACAGGAAACATGTAAACGTATATATGTCCATCTCTCCTATTCTTTCATTCCAGAAAATCACTGGGAACCACCAGGGGCTGTTTGGTTGGGTGCATACCTACCTGAGCCTTGAGAATACATCTGGTCCTTAGCAAACCTCATCTGGACAGAAAAAACAAAACATGTCTTAAAAACAAAACTCAGATGTGGAAAAATAAGTTTTCCAAATCTTATTTGCCTTTGACTTCAAAGGACTCCTATATGGGATAAACTTTGAGGAATATGAAAAGAGAAGATTTGGCTCAAAGAACAGAAGGATCAAATCAAAGTACAAAGTTGTGAGAAAGAGCCCGAAAAACATTTTACTGTGGTTGGAGCCATTGGCCGTGCACTTTGAACAAAACCAAGTTCACACAGAGTAGTGAACTTAGTGAAGAAGTGAGTGATGCTAATGATGGCATTTTAATTGTTATAATTGAATAATATAACTTACTTAAGCTTGAAGAATTTTTTTTCTTTTTATCCAAAGCCAAAGTAAACTGACATATATTATTGAATACTGCAAGTTTTTATTTACCATTAATTCTGAATGTGGAGATTAATTAATTACTCAAGTACACTTGGGGTAAAAAAAATTCACTATAGTACTTACTTGAATTTCTAAAAATCAACATTTTACATATAAATAAGGGTAGTCTACCCTAACTGTATTGTATATCTACTTAAAGATGTCATGTACTTACTACTCTAGTAATGCTATTATCATTCAAATATGTTTTCTAAACTCTCTTACAATAAAATGTTAAGCCCTTGAGGAAAATTACCTCTAAGCTTCCATAGGATGTTTAATGTTTTCTTCTGGCCACAAAATAATATATCCCTCGTGTGAAATTTTTTGAAGAAATTTTAAAAAGAAATATAAAAATAAAATTATTCATGATTTCTTTGCCACATTAACCTTTTAATGTATATTCTTCCAGAACGCTCCTATGAACTTGTTAGATGGAGATATTTTACATAATAGTATCATTCTATATATGCTTCATTTTCCTTAAATATAGTACATATTATATATGATATATAACATATATGTAATGTATATATCCTATACAATACATACATATATACAGTTAGTAATGTGGTTATATATATTACTAAAACTTATTTATTTATTTTTTTTAAACTTTCTAAGTCAGTAAACATGCCTCATTAAATTCTTTATTAGTGAGTAATGTTTTATTAAATGGATCTAACACAAACTTTTTAACACTGTTTTCCAAACTACTTTCTGAAAGTGTTCCAAGATGTTCTAAATTACAAGAAGGGAGAAGAGAGTCATGTGGATCAAACAAAGTGGAAACCGTTGTAAAAGTTTTAATTGCAGGACTTCTCAGAGGGTTCAGTATGCTAATTCGAATCATGAACTTTCAAATGTGGAATATTTTATTATGCATTTACAAAACAAAATAAGCCACTGGAGTTTTTATTTGATAAAATCTTATTAATATTCTGATTTAATCATCCCCTATCTTTGGGCTTTTAGGCTGTTTTAAGTTTATTAACCATTCTTAATAATGCTTTGGTAAACATTTTCAGAATTCATCTTTGAGCATGTTTCTGATTATTTCCTTCAAATAAGCGTTTAGATATAGGATTGCCTGGCTTATTCACAGATTTAATGATTTGATACATATCACCAAATTGCACACAAAAATATATCAAATTACATACAGCACTTTCTGAGGCTATTTTCCCATAATTTAACCAATACCTGTTATTATCATTCTTTACATTAACTTTTATTTTTTCCTTCCCTGATTGATTATCCACCTTAGTCAAAAGTCTTACTTCTAAATGGCATTTGGTAATCTCTCACACAATAAACCACATCAACCTGAGGATATAGATAGAGTAGAAGAAAAACTTAATCTGTGGAGTTTCACAAACTGCCATCCCTCTTGGCCTGTCTCATCTCTCATCACCACCACTGGTGGCCTGTTTCGTAAATTTAATTTTTATGTTACAGCAGGAAAGCCACACATGAAGCCACACCTGCCTAACTTAATCTAGGTGAACAGAATCATGGCACCACATTGCAAAAATTAAAATTAAAATGCATGTATTAAAGGTTTTAAATCTCCCAACCACTACCTGATCATTGTACCTGCTCTACAAATATAGTGTTAGAACTAATAGATAGTCTAATAGGAAACCTCAAGGAAGAAGATAACTCTCCAACCAAGAATTTCCAATCATTCAGGGAAAGCCAGTACTATGAAAGAAAGAGAAGCAATAAACTAAGAGTGGGGAAATTTGGTCTAATAAAACATCAGTAATAGAATACTGAAAAATAAGAGTTTTTAATTTTGAAATAGTTACTAAATCTTAAAAAGAAAAACAGTGGAAAAGATAAACAAAAATAAAATCTGATATTGCCACTAGTTTTATTAAACTGACCAGAGAAAAATTAATCCTTACCTGATACAATTTTCCAAATTATAGAAAAACAGAAAAAGTCACCCAAAACTTCATTTATGAGGCTTTCCTACACTGGACCCAAAATCACATAAGGACTGCATAAGAGAAGAATGTTTCGAACAACAGATTCAAAAATCCTGAATAAAATATTAGCAAACTGAATACAATAACATACAAATTACTATATCATCACTGTTTAGAGTCTATTCTAAAAAAAAAAAAAAGAAAAAATGGTTTATTTAGTATGAGAAAATGTGTTACTGTAATATCTACATTAAAATTTAGAGAATAAATTGTTTTTATCATAGAAGTTGGGGTGGAATAAAAGAATTCAATATACTTAGATGTCCCTTCATACAAAACGAGAAAATATCTTAGCAAACCAGGAATAAAGAGAAATATACTTTTATATATACATGTATATATACGTATATATACATATATACGTATATATACATGTATATATATACACATACATATGTATATACACATACTTTTATATATATATAATTTATTGTCAGATTGGTTTCCCTACAACACCCAGTGCTCATCCCAACAGGTGCCCTCCTCAATGCCCATCACCCACTTTCCCCTCCCCCCCCACCCCCATCAACCCTCAGTTTGTTCTCAGTATTTAAGAGTTTCTTATGGTTTGCCTCCTTCCCTCTCTGTAACTTTTTTTTCCCCTTCCCCTCCCCACTGGGCTTCTGTTAAGTTTCTCAGGATTCACATGAGTGAAAACATATGGGATCTGCCTTTCCCTGCTTGACTTATTTCACTTAGCATAATACTCTCCAGTTCAATCCATGTTGCTACAAATGGCCATATTTCATTCTTTCTCATTGCCAAGTAGTATTCCATTGTGTATATAAACCACAATTTCATTATTCATTCATTAGTTGATGGACATTTAGGCTTTTTCCATAATTTGGCTATTGTTGAAAGTGCTGCTATAAACATTGGGGTACAATTGCCCCTATGTATCAGCACTCCTGTATCCCTTGGGATAGAATAGAATAGGGACTCTAGAATTGGACCCACAAATGTATGGCCAACTAATCTTTGACAAAGCAGGAAAGAATATCCAATGGAAAAAGACCGTCTCTTTAACAAAGGGTGCTGGGAGAACTGAACAGCAACATGCAGAAGAATGAAACTAGACCACTTTCTCACACCATTCACAAAAATAAACTCCAAATGGATGAAGGACCTGAATGTGAGACAAGAAACCATCAAAACCCTAGAGGAGAAAGCAGGAAAAAACCTCTCTGACCTCAGCTGCAGCAACTTCTTACTCGACACATCTCCAAAGGCAAGGGAATTAAAAGCAAAAATGAACTATTGGGACTCCATCAAGATAAAAAGCTTCTGCACTGCAAAGGACACAATCAACAAAACGAAAAGAGGAATATCCTACTGTATTTAAAACACTATAGTGTTTAGCAAATACCATAGACAACAGTGGGATAGCAAAAAAATTTTGCTTAATCTCAAGAGCAACACAAATTTGTCACCACTCACAAATTTTTAAAACACTAAGAATAGCTAAGAGTGAAGGGGACCCAACACCCTCATATACATTCTCTGTAACACAGCCACCTGGAGGGGCATCTGCAGTGTCTGTTAAAATAAGAACTTGTGCTCACTGTATGATGAACAACTCTTTGTATGTGTACGTGTACACGTACCAACAAAGTCACATAAGAACAAAAAGGCCCGGAAGTAGGTGAAGGGCATTAAGAGTACACTTATCTTGTTGAGCACCGAGTAATACATAGAACTGTTGAATCACTATATTGTACACCTGAAACTAATATAACGCTCTATGTTAACTGAAATTAAAATTTTAAAAATACAATTATAAAAAAAAGAACAAAAAGGCCCATATGGGATGTAAACTACAGCACTGTGTACAATTGCTAAGAATTAGAAATAATCTATACTGCAAAGCTAGAGTAATCAAAACAGCATAAGGCACATAAATCAATAGAATAGAATAGAGAGCCCAGAAATAAACCTACACATATGCAGTCAATTAATTTACAGTAAAGAATGCAAGAACATACAATGGGAAAAAGCCTCTTCAGTAAATGCTGTTAGGGAAACACGACAGCCACATGCAAAACAATGAAACTGGACCACTATCTTACACCATATATGGAAATACATTTAATATGGATAAAGACTTGAATGTAAGATGTGAAACCATAAAGCTTCCAGAAGAAAACAGTAGCAGTCAACTCATTGATATTGTATTATTTACAATAGCTGACATACGATAGTAAACTAAGTGTCCATTGATAAATGAATGGATGAAGAAGTGGTGATGCACACACACACACACACACACACACACACAATGGAATATTACTCAGCCATAAAACGAAGCCATCTGCTACAACATGGATGAACCTAGAAGGTATTATGCTAGGTGAAATAACTCAGAGAAAGACAAATACTATATATGTGGAATCTAAAAAAAAAAATAGAAACAGACTCATAAATACAAGAAATTGTTGGTGAGCAGGAGGGGAAAGGTTGAGGGGACAGGTGAAATAGGTGAAGGGGATTAAGAGGTACAAACTTCCAGTTATAAAATAAATAAGTCACAGGGAACAGAGTCAATAATATTGTAAAACTTCATATGATAACAGATGGTAACTAGACTTCTGAGGAATCATTTCATTATGTCT